TAGATTTATGCGAATCCGAAAACCTACGGTGCTCAGAAAAATTTTGAGGATTCAAATAATTTGATTTTTTTTTAATTGAAAATTTATCCGCAAAAAACTGAAAAGGCTTACTGTAGGGAAAAATAATAGAAAACTGAAAGGATTACTGTAGAAGAGAATTCAAAAATGAAAGTGATTTCTCCTAGAAAAAGTTAGAAATTTGACTGAAAATTGTAATACCGTATTTACTAAAGTGTGAGTGATTCGAATGATTCCAAGGATTTTAAGGGTTTTCAGGGATTTAAGTTGAAATTTGGAATCTATGAAAATTAACGAAAATTCGAAAACTGAGAGTTTCATACATCCGAACATCTACAGTAAGATCGGGAGTTGTTGAACTCTGAAAAAAGTTACATACAAGAAATCATGAAATAAATGAAATATAATTCAGAGTACATCATCAAAATTGAGCCAAAAGAATTTCAGACTTTTAGAATCCTCTAGATTTCTAAGTACCGTTTTCAGATCTGAGGAATTCTCAATTTTCAGAATTTCGTAATTTTTCATAATTTCCAAACTTCAACTTATATCCCTGGGAATCCTCTAAATCATTCAAATCATTTACACATTTGAAAAACGGTATTCCAATTTTCAGTGAAATTTCTATTTTGTTTCTTTACAGAAGTAATCCGTAATTTTTCATAACGTCCATATCTTTTTCTGAATTCTTGGAGTTGTTGGAATCCTGAAAAAATACGAAATTCCGAAAATTGAGAACTTCTCAGATCTAAAAACACGGAGTGCTAAGAAATATAGAGGATTCTAAAAGTCTGAAATCCTTTTGGCTCAATTTTAATTTTTTTAAATTTAAAGTTTCAATCATCGGAATATCCAGAAGGATTCTAAAAAACAAAAATTGTAGACATTTAGATTTATCTCACATTCAGCTTTATGCATTTTGTAATGTTTCATCACCTTACTGTGAAATAACTCTAGGAAGAAAGAAATAAAAAATGGAAATGAGTACTGTCGGGGACATTAGAAATTCGACTGAAAATTGTTATCCCGTTTTGTCAAATGTGTGAGTGTGTGCGATTTGAATGATTACAAAAATTTCCAGGGAAGTTAACATTAGGAAATTATTAAAAATTAAGAAATTCTGAAAATTGAGAGTTTCATACATCTGAACATGTACAGTAAGATCGGGATTTGTCGATTCCATCGCATTCTCTCTATCCATTTTCAGTTCAAATATGACTCCGCCCACTTTGCATACGTGGATTAATTTGTTTTTCCGAACAAGTCGCTGTTTGGAGAACATCCTTTGATGTAACGAAATCTGGTTTCTGATTTCCAAATCCATTCTGTCCGATATAATCCAAAAATGATTCCATTTTAGATTCTGAGAATTCTGGACTTGGAATTTTGACATTGAGTTTGCAGTTTGGAAGTTTTCGAATCGAATGAGTCAAATATTCAGAATATCCATTCAGAGTTTTCAATTGGGTCGATTCATCGGAGATCAATGTGGCACTTCTGGAAATTTCAAAGGTTTTGAATCGATCTACAGTATTCTAAAGTATTTCATAAAAAAAAATAAAAACTCACAAATCCCGATCACAATGATTATATGCGACATTTACG